GACAGTACAACCTTGTCTGGCAGTGCAACGGACCCATACAGACCTGAAAAGTTCAGTAACACTTACAGATCTCCTGCCAACCCCCACCCTGATACTGGACTTAAAGCAGACCTTTACCCATATCTTTAAAATAACAACACACACACCTTTAGAGCCCATTCACACCAGGGCGGTTGCGGATCAGCGCAGCAAAAATAGTGCAGGTAGCAGTTCGAGCAGGCGGCGGTTCAGATCACACTAACTTGCGCAGTCGCATGAACGGTACCCCGTAGCAATGCATTGGATCATTCTTGTCGGCAGATCGGTACGGCCGAACCGCCCCAGTGTGAACGGGGTCTTAGAAATGTTTAGTAATGACAATCTACAAACACATACTTCTAGATCATTGTCGCTTTGTATTCTTTGCAGACCTTTTATTTATTTTTTCTTTCCTAGTCTTCTCAAGGTGGCCATGTTAACCAAGGGCAGGTTACTAATTCCCCATTTACTTCCTTGAACTCTGGCACATGTGACTAGGACATGTGACCATGCACATCATCTCAGGGGAGGAAAATGCCTTTGCCTGAGATCTCGTGAGATTACAGATGAGATTTCCCAGCAATGCTCTGCTAAAGTATCCTTTCCAGGATGCAATGCTTTGGTCACTTACATCATCATCATTTCAATGACAAGGCAATCCCAGTGTGCATTGCTTTGGCAAACTTAAGTAATGTTGCCCTTTCAAAGTAGGAAGTGAATGCTCTGCAAGTCTAAGTTTTTCAAAATCACAGCATTTTACACCTGACATGTCTATGTTATTATTAATCATCATACAAAGAGGGATGCATTGGTAGAATTAGATTTTTTGAGTGTAAAGGTCCGCTTTAAAGGAGAAACAGCACACTTATAAGCTCTCTGTCTCTCTCCTCCATTCAGCATGTTCCTTGTGCTGCTTCTCCCTTCCCCAGTCTGAGCTCTGTTGTACAGGGTACTGCAAGAGGTAGATACCAGGTCATATTAAGGTACTTATACAGCTTGAATTAAAGGGTAGGTCCACTTTTTCAGGTGAATTTAGTAAAATGGAATTAGCCCCTCCAATCTAGCCTGCCTGGAGTGGAGCTTTAAGGGGCAGTAGTGGCAGAATAGGAAGGGGTTCAGTATAGGTCAGCTTTAAGTAATTTTTAAAGGTACATATGCATTAGTCTTTCAGCTGTATTGGCATCATCATTGTGTTGAAGGTGGAGAACACCCTAGTTCATTACATCCCTTTAGCGACCAGCTCTTTAAATCTGTTATGCATTCTCAGCAGCTGGGAGACTTCAAGTGACCTTTAACTACTGCCCCTTAAACTTAAACTATTTAAATATACATGTAAACATATAGGGGGGAATTCATCAAGACTGGAGCAGGCAAAATTGGAGCATGGCTACCAATCAGCTTCTCCCTTCAGTTTGTTGAGTTAAGGTTTGAAAATGAAAGAGAGGTTAATTGGTTGCCATGCAAATTTTTGTCTGCTCCAGTTTTGATAAATTCCCTTCATACTGTTTTCTTGTACATGAAGATTAGCCTAATGTAAATAATGTTATCATTGAGGGTTAGTGGTATGAAATTCTTGTTTCTATGTATTGTTGTGTGTTGCTGATCCTCCTGTCTCATTGCAAATCTAGGAGATAGGATCCGTCTGATTCAAGACGGACTCTGCAGTCTTAAAAGGAGAACTATGGGGTAAGTGTTTTTCCCGGTAGTTCTCCTCAGGGTAACGGGAGGACATATACTAGCATCCTCCAGTGACCCAAAGCTCAGTATACCGCGAACTACAGCTTGCGGTATACTGAGACCGCTGCAGCCGGGACGGATCCCGACATTACTGTCGAGATCCACCCTGCTGCGTGATTGACAGCTGGCTCTGCCTATCTAGAAGCAGAGCCAACTGTACCCGCCCCCTCCCCTGTTCGTTACTCCAGTCAGCGCTGGAGGATCAGGGGGGGGGGATCCCTGCAGGGAGCGTGAGTGACAGATACGCCTCTGCAGGAGGGACAGGATCGAGAAGTGAGCAAGCGACGGTATGCGTTCGCTCACTTCTCGATCTATTGAGCCGACGTGTGACAGTTTCATTGTCACACGTCGGCTCGAACTATGAGGATGAGTGAAAATCACTTACCTCATAGATCTCCTTTAATGATGAGACCGTTCCAGTAGTCAGAGACCATTTTATCTTTGCCTAGTCTTTAGGTTGCACAATGGAGCTCAGAAGCAATGTTTGTTTCTTGTTTTTACTCATGGCAAGAAATAGGTGTTTTCTATACAAAATAATCGAATTTCAGAGCGAAGTGTGAATTTTTAATGGCAGATCTACTTGAAATACAAAAGCTGAACGTGACGGACAGGCTGTATGCCCTTAATGAAATAAAAACCATTCACTTGGCAGAGTGAATTATTTTGAAAAGTGTTTTACCTAGCTTAGTGAAGGAGAAGCTGTGTTCACTATGAATATCCAATCATGTAAGAGAAGTTACATAGTATTTGAGGTTGAATAAAGACACAGGTCCATCAAGTTCAACCTTTGTGTTTGTCCGTGTGTGCTTGTGCATGTGTGTGTGTCTGTGTGTGCTTGTGCATGTGTGTGTGTGTGTCTGTGTGTGCTTGTGCATGTGTGTGTCTGTGTGTGTGTGTGTCCGTGTGTGTGTCCGTGTGTGTGTGTGTGTGTGTGTCTGTATATGAGGCCCTATGTGGTCTAGTGTTTAAGAGTACCTGTACCCCTGTATGTACATGGAAATGACAATGATTTTTTAACATTTACTTTCAAAATAATTACTCTGATAAGTGTACAGTCTCTATTTGTTTAATAAATTAACCCGTGTCTTGAAAACGGGGCCCTCTGAGAAAGATTTGAGATAAATTATGTCATATATTTGTATGCGTCTGACTACTTTAATACACTATAGGACCAAAAGTTTGTGGACACCTGGCTATCACACTTATTTCAGCTGGTTGAACATCCCAGTCAAAAAACACAATTATTCATATAGAGTTGTCCTGCTATGCCTTTGCAGCTATAACAGGCACCACCCTTCTGGGAAGGTTGGGTACTAATTAGGGATGCACCGATATATTGGCCGCCGAAACATATGGGCCGAAAATGGCACTTTTGGCATAATGCCGAAAGAGCCATGTTTCGGCCGATACATCGGCGCATCCCTGGTTTCTTTTCTCCCCGCTGGGCGCTGCTCTCTGTTCCAGTGGGGAGAAAAGAAAGTGACAGCCGGCCGAGCGCTGGAGGATGAGAGCGCTTTGAGCGACCGGTGTCTCTCCTCCCACACCGCTCGGCCGCCTATCACAGTCCGGCAGAGCGGTGTGGGGGCGGAAACAGCGCTGTCACAGGAGGCTGGGCTCTCCTCTCTACACCGCTCAATCAGCCTCCTGTGACAGCGTGTCAGAGAGAAAAGCAAGGTACACACACTCAGCGACCAGTGATCGCTGAGTGTGTGTAGATAATTGAGGATATGGTATGTTAACTATATCCTCAATTATGAATGAATGGGAGTGATCTACATCACCCCCATTCATTCATAATTGTAGTTATAGTAAACATACAATGTTCTCATGTTATCAAGGAACAGGAACACTCATAGAGGATTCTCAACAGGGGACAAAGAAAAAGAGATTGAGGACTCTGTGTTCTCAATCTCTTTTTCTATTTTAAAAGGGAAATATCAGGGGTCTAATATTTCCCCAAAGCCCCTAAAAGTAAAGTAAAAAATAAAAATATTTAATAAAAAATGAATAAAAATAAATATAAAATTATAAAAAATAAAATATTTTAAACAATTGAAAAAATAAAAATAAAAAACATTTTCGGTATCGGTTTCGGCCTGACATTTTTTTTATTTCGGTTTCGGTTTTAAAATTTCCATTTTGGTGCATCTCTAGTACTAACATTGGGTGAGAAACCCTGGCTCACATTAGGAATTCCAATTCAGTAGGGTTGAAGTCAGGGCTTTGTAAAGACCAGTTGGCTTCCTCTACATTAAATTCCTTGTCTTAATGGAGCTTGATGTGTGCACAGGGGCATAATCACACTGCAACAGAACAGGCCTTCCCCAATTGAAAGTTTGGGGGGCACACAATTGTCTAAAATGTCTTTGTAAACTGTAGCATGAACAGTAATCTTCACTGAAAACAACTCAACAATTTGGAGGGCTGTCTCCATTTGGCCATATATTGTAAACAGGGTTAATACCAGAAATACATTAGTCAATGGACCTGTATTCCCCATAGCAACCTATCATTTTTTTCATGTCCTAAACGCTTAAAGGACAGCAGCTGATTGGATGCTATGAGGAAGAGACAATTTTTTTATCCAGGCCTCTTCAAGCATGGTAGGGCAGGTAAAATATCTTCATCAAAGAAAAGTGCAGCTGGAATAATTATTGTGAGTATTCTTATCCTCAACGATGAGGACACTGGCCTCTACTTTAGCAGCAGACTGAAAAACTTGGCGCACGTTGTTTTCATCTGTCACTATGATCTGCACAGGTATCAGATTTCAACGAAACTTCCACATTTACGAGACTTATACACCGCCAGGATTATAAACAACATTTAACCTATGACAGTCCATGTGAAAGACTTCTGCAGCCACCTCCAGTGTGGGACTGAGCCAAAACTAATCTACTCAGCCTTATCCACAGAAATAAAAAAAGGAAAGACGGGAGAAATTTGTCGCTGCCTACTTCCAGATGGATGTGTGAGGCAATAGACAAATTCACGCCCACAGTCTTGCCCGCTTAAGGCGAATAGCAAGCTTCCCTAATTAAAATAGTTGGTGTTTTACGATGGAAACAGAGCAATAAACACCTCCTCTACTATAAGCAAGGACTGGCCTCCATAGGGTGGAACAAATTAAAAGCATTCACAGAGAGATTAGTAAATAAATTAGTGTTTTTGTAAACTGAGAGCTGGGGACAGAGTTTGTTGACGAACAGAGGGCATAAGCCTGACTACTCAGTCATTGTACTTACAATGAATCCAGGGACTCCGGGAGGACCTGGGGGACCCAGTTCACCCTAAATCAAAAGAAAAAACAAATTCCGTACATTTAATAGCCTACTACTATTTGAGGACATCATTGCACACCTTTGACTAAAAGATCTGGTTTATATAAGGAAAGCAGTAGTGTTTGTGTTCCCCAAAGCAACCAATTTCCCCAAAGCACCGCCTATTTTTCTTTGTTTATTATAGCCCCAAAGGTACAGGGAATACCACCAGCCAAAGAGTATGTCCCATTACAACCCGCAGCTTCCAATCAGGAAAGGCCAACATTAAAATAGTGCAGACTGTCATAATTCTACTAATACGACAAATAAACATGATTCATAATGCATACTCCTGTTGAACGTGTCAAATAATTGAAAAGATTGCATTTATTTGGTCCTTGGAATATGCATTTTAGTGCACCAAGCAGATAAATTTCCCAGTTCCAATTTGTCACTCTGCACCACCATTGGGCTCATAGGTTGATCTAAGAACAAATGGGAGAAACAGGAAAACTAGGTAGAAACCATGAATTGAAAAGAAGTGATCTCTTCACATATGAGACCCTTAGGAATTGTAATCTAAATTCACTAATGTAGTACACGTGTAATTTTACCCCATATTGCAAGGATAAAGAAGGACCAACACCCCAAGAATCACATACACATCAGTTTTCCTCCACCAAACACCTTCCCATGACATACTTCACATGAGTTATGCTAATGTGGCTGGTAGGCTGAATCACTGGCTACAAAACTCAATGACCTAGAACAAATATGCAGATCAGGAGTGTCAGAAAAAAGGTCAGAAGTTTTTATTTGCATGTACAGTATGTTTCTAGGTTAGTCATTCGGAGAACTGATGCCCAAGATCAGCATGACAGACAGGCAACTAGCAGTTTCAGTATGGTTGAGAAGACAGCTATGACAGCCTGCATGTTTCTTTAACCATCGGTTTCTTTGAAGCAAACTGCATCACACTATAAACTGGGTTTTTCATTTATTATTACATTAAAAAGAGCACAGTGGGTTGAGTTAGACTCCATAGCAGGAGGGTAATAATGCCACAAATTCTAACATGGACAGCTCACCATTGAGTCTCTATTTGATATTAAAGCTGAACTCCAGGCAAACAGCTAAATACACACATACATATAAAAGAGTTGACTTTTTTGTGCCAAAGGGTTTGAATTTTTGTCCAACCCAATCTTTAGATTTGCACAGCTCTGCCACACAGCAAATTCTTTTTACTATAGGTCTCAACCCCACCCCCACCATGTGAATGGACAGAGAAAGGAGAAGCAGCACACGGATTAGCTCATACACTTGCTCTCTACTCTTATCAGCATGTTACTCGCACTGAAGCACATTTATTTGGCTCCTTGTGCTGCTTCTTCCTGTCCCACTCGGACCTCTGAAGTACAGCAGACTGCAAGAAGCTGATATCAAGTCAAATACAGGTACTTTTACTACTTGTATTTAAAAATACATTCAATTATGTATTAATATATACAGAGTTGCACTAATTTGTGCATTGTATACTTGTATGGAGTTAAGCTTTAAAAAACAATGATGGATACAGCCCACCAGCACAAACCCTCGCCTGAATTATCAGTTTTTGGTGGACTGACCCTCTAATATAAAGAGGGTTAGAGGAAAATGTCTAAAATGCATTTACATTGGTCCTACAATTAAAAAGAACAAACCCACGCAGGGGTAGGCAACCTCGGCACTCTAGCTGTGGTGAAACTACAAATCCCAGAATGCCTCTGGGAGTCATGCCTCTGGCTGTCAGTCTTGCAATGGGACTTGCAGTTTAATAACAGCTGGAATGCCACGGTTGCCTATCTCTTCTCTAATGTAATGAGGTTTTGATGACAATATCTGATGCGCATTTACGTTGGTCCCAGATTACAAATGTGTCCTCATTTGTTTACATTGATCAGTATTATTCATATGCTTTTTCTACGTGTAAAGCATGACCAGGAACATTCTTAATTTCCGTACCCCATTTAACAACCTACTCAAAAAATTAAACACTCCAAATTCATAATAGTTCTTATGCTTTATTATAAACTACTTACAGGGTTTCCATCAAGTCCTGGAGGACCCCTCTCTCCAAAATCACCAGGGAATCCCTACAAGAAAAGATATAAAGGAAAAAAAAAGGTTAAAAAAAACATGAGTGCTAAGCAACAGTTTCCAGCACAATACAAAGATTTACACGAAGAGAAGAACTGAATCAAGATAACATGCAAGAAGCGCAGTAAAAACAGCCAATGGCAGAGCACCATTAGAATGCTTTCAGCTCGTCCAAATGACTTGGAAAACTGACACACAGCATGAGGTTTTATAAATAAAAGTATTGTACTATCTGCAAGATCAAAATTAGAAAAATGTTTCTAGCAAAAAAAAAAAAGTATAGAGATCCTCCAAAATATTTTATTGCGTTATTGCAGGATTTCCAGTCATAGTCTATTCCAAAAAGTGTCTGATGATGTAATACTGCATGAGTAGAGTTTTAAGTTACAGGTGCTTCTATGAAAACATACAAAGGTTATTGCTTGGAGAAACAAATCATTTAGTCTACAGTTTCCATCGCAATCTGGCCACAAGGGTCCCTTTTGCTCTTAAAGTGACACTAAACTCAGGAGTTAAATCTTAATGCATTCAAGTACCCTATGAACAAAAATGTATCATGTTTGTGTATCACTCGGCTAGAACTCCTCAAATCATCTCTGAATTGGTGCTGATACGGTCCACTCCAAGCTCACTACTGTGATGGACTTTAGTCTCACGTTTAGTTTACTATTGGTATTGAGATTGTAGTCCATCACAGGAGAGCGATTGGAGCGGTGACTACTTTACAACACACACAGGGACCATGGGGAACAAAAGTAGCCACCCTCCAGAAGGAAGGACAGTGTCAGCACCAATTCAAAGATGCTTTGAGGATCTACAGATGAGTGATCTACAAATAAGTTAAAAGAGAACTATGGGGTCAGTGCTTTTGCCCATAGTTCTCCTAAGGGTAACAGGAGGATACAAACTAGTGTCCTCCCGTCACCCAAAGCTCAGTATACCGTGAGCTACAGCTCCCAGTATACTGAGATGCCGCAGCCGGGACGGATCCCGACATTACTGTCGAGATCCACCCAGCTGGATGAGTGACAGTTGGCTCTGCCTATCTAGAGGCAGAGCCAGCTGTACCTGCCTCATCCCCCGTCCGTTCCGCCAGTCAACGCTGGAGGATCGGACAGGGCAGGGGGGATCCCTGCAGGGAGCCGTGAGTGACAGTCAGGGCTCTCTGCACGGATAGATCGAGAAGTGAGTGAGCAACGGTATGCGTTCGCTCACTTCCCGGTCTACTGAGCCGTCCTGTGACAGTTTCATTGTCACAGGTCGGCTCAGATTATGAGTAAAGGAGAATTATGAGGCAAGTGATTTTCAAAGTATTGTTATTAGAGTTTATTCACATGGACACAGCGGTCTGTGTACTGTAAAAGCCATTAGGATCTCTGTGCCAAGCAGGTGTTGTGTAGAGCTTGTCTGTACAAATGAATGGAAGGCAGCGGTTCTGGTAAAGGCTTTACTTCCTTACAGGTATAAATGTATGTCCCTGGACTGCCTGCGTTTAGGGGCATATATACATTCCTGTACTTAAGTGTAAGCTCGGAGCAGCATTTACCATCGTACAGCTTCAACCTGTCGTTGATTTGTTAAGGCAGGCTCTCCACAACACTTATGGTTCATAGGTGCAGAAAAGTTTGTGTTTTAGGATACACAGACCTCCGCACCCATGTGAATGAGCCCCTACTGTTGTCAACCACAAAGAATAAAGACCCTAAGGGCCCAGTCAGGCTGCTTGTGGTGCAATGCGGGGTTTCGTAACATGCTTTGCATCAACACACTGCCAAAGTATGTTTAATGGACATGCAGCATTTTGTACAATGTAGTGCACCACAATGCACAGATGGTTCACATGTGTGTGTAGTGGTGCGTTAAAATGCAAGTGAACTATGCTGCGCTGAATGGCACCACTATGCATAGCACTTTGTTTTGTGCAATGTGGTAACATGTGGTATTCTGTGTTAAAAACACGTTACTGCAATGCGATAGTGTGAATGGACCTTAACACAAGAGCAGGGGTACTGGAACCTCTAGGTCAGACTTCATCACACAGACTGGCAGAGGCTAAAAGAGTGCAGAAGAGACGAATGGAAAAAATGGGACCCAGCCAAACAGAGCAGCTTTTCCTGGCCCCTCACACTCTCTCACCAAGTGTCTTGGAAGGCTCTTTGCTGGCTTGTAATGCAGATGCACGTGGGCTGTATGGAACACAGACAAAAAGCTCTTTGTTTGCGAAGAGGGGTACATTGCAAAAGAGGTGTCTCAGAGCTGAGCAATAACAGAGATCCCTAAAAAAAAAATCTGGAAAAGTCTTTTTATAGTCATATTTGGACTACATTTGCAGAGTATCTGCCTTAAAATCAGGCATTTTGAATGTATAATGTGGAATGGTAAATTGATATTATAATAAGGCATGACATTATGTTAAAAACACAAACAAGGGGCGCCTTTCCTGGTGCAGACAAATTTATTAAGAACAAAATCAAAAGTAAATGTGAAACATACTCACAAAGGTCGGCATGAGTAAGTGCATGGACCCAAGAGGAAGTCTATGATAACTGCACAACCGTGTCTGTGTGTCAGCAAAGAAGACTGTCTGATGACGCGTTTCCAGGGGGCACGCCCCCTTCATCAGATCTGATGAAGGGGGCGTGACCCCGGAAACGCGTTATCAGTCTTCTTTGCTGACACACAGATCTGATGAAGGGGGCGTGACCCAGGGAAACGCGTCATCAGACAGTCTTCTTTGCTGACACACAGATCTGATGAAGGGGGCGTGACCCCGGAAACGCATCATCAGACAGTCTTCTTTGCTGACACACAGACACGGTTGTGCAGTTATCATAGACTTCCTCTTGGGTCCATGCACTTACTCTTCATATTGTAATCATGCCGACCTTTGTGAGTATGTTTCACATTTACTTTTGATTTTGTTCTTAATAAATTTGTCTGCACCAGGAAAGGCGCACCTTGTTTGTGTTTTTCCCTAGATTTTGCAGTCTCCCTGGCTGGTTTGGGGCAGCATCCTGCAGACTTTCCACAACTTGCTTCCATTTTTTAACAGATTTTGTTTTGATTATACTTTTGATTATATTGGTATATCCTGGCTGAGCAGTCTTATCTGTCGCTTTTTTGTTCATATCTGTAATGACATTATGTTAGTTCAAGTCAACACATCCACAGCCATGGTTAAAGGGTATCTACAGGCAAAACTTTAAATGATAGTTTTGAAGAAAGGAGGGAAGGTTTGGGGCCACTGTCATCTTTTTAGAATTGTCTGGGTCCCCTTGGTGAGATTTCCACTCACTGCCTGCCACTGAAAACAACACAAATGTGAAGACATCTCTCAAAATTAAGAGGATAACCCTCTTAGACAGTTGTCACTGGAACTGGTGTGCCCATTGGAAGACTTCCCCTCACCTCCTGTTCCAATGACAGCTGTAACATTTTGGACTTCCCATCAGTTTCTGTCCTGATGACAATAGTCACCAGGACAAAGATAGATGGTGAATCTACCCAGCAGGGATACAGCCACCAAAAAAAACTTTCACAGAGGTGTTAACCCGTTTTAATTCCATCCAAAATTAAACAAAAATGGCATTATTTATATTTTAATAAGTTTAAAGTGAAACTCCATATTTATACCTTGGAAAAACAAAATCCAGAGACGCGTCCTATGTGCATCATTTTTTACAATTGCTATAGTCTCATTTTAATTCCTCATTTGATACTGTATGTTCATTGTCTCTGATCCTAGGATTATATTGGCTGGGATTAAAGTGTACCCTAACAATGAACTCCTCTGATTTGTACCCATTTGGTCTGGTAAATATTACAATTTAAAAAGTGTTTCACTACAGCTGTTCAATAAGTGCAAACAAAGTACCTGTTGGTCATGTCAAACATTTTGAGATCTGGTAACTTTTCTCCGTCTGGTCAGTTAGCATTGTGCCCAGCTCTCTCTGTGAGCTACAAAACACATTTGCCCTATGTTATGAAGAGGAGGTGTTCTCTAGTCTTAACACCTTTCCTATACTAGCTTGACAATGCTGCTCTTCCACAGATACTATACAGTCAATGAGCGTTGTCACCCTAGAAAAGCATCACCAGGTGAAAAAAAAATGGAAAGAAGCGTGAAAAGAAGAAAAATAATGCAGCCGCCACAGCTATGCACCATTAAGCTGCAATATATTACTCTTGGGTTTAGACATGCTCTAAAGGAAGAGAAAATCAAAAAAAAAAACATCCTATCAATACATAGCAGGCACCAATACATAGCAGCTCTTACATCAGCCTCACTCCCCGGCTTCCAGTATTTGCTGTCAGAGCCCCCACAAACATCCAGTACACCAAGGTCCAAAGCCCATAAGTACAGCCTCTCTGCCTCCCACAATGCAGCACTCAGAGCCTCTGTGGGAGATCTCTACTCCAGGACTCATAACTAACATTTTAGATGTTCGCTAGCTTTTAGGAAGAAAGAGGAACTGAGACACAGAGCGTGATCAAAACCTGTCACTAAACTTTCTTCTTCAGACAAAGAAAAAGTCCTCTACCCCTTCGTCATTACGGCCTGTTGAGTATCACCTCAGCTGGGCTCTAGATAACCAAGTACACTGGAGCCCAACAACAATCTTCATTCAATTCGATTGATTAAACTACAGCAGCATCCAATGGTAACAATACAAGACTGCTAATGCGTTTCAGCTATACATCATTTCTATGAATTAAGGCTGTATAGCTGAAATTCATAAGCAGTCTTGTATTTTTAACCTCGGATGCTGCTGTATTTTAATCAATAAAGGTGAATGGAGATTGCAGTCCAGCGCACTAACTTTTCTTTATTCTAATCAAAACTGAAAAAAAGTGTTTTGGCTGAAGTTACATATTAATTTTAAGAGTCCATGTATTTGCTAATGCTAACCACTGACAAGACACCTGACTTGAGTGTGTATCATACAGCTTTTCATTCAATGAATACTTTTTTCCTGGTATCCTCTGGTAAACCTAA